CTATGCAACCACCTCAGGGTTGGGAGTTGGACCAGCCGCCCTGGGAGCCCAGCTGTGCTGCCCTTTCCCAGGCCCTCCCCCTCCGCTGCCTGCCTCTCCCACCCCTGCTGGCTCCGGATCAGCTCTACCTGTAAAAGCAAGGCTGCAATTCTCCAGCTTTTGTATTCCTTATAAGGCGCTGGCATCAGTAGCTCAATTCTTTTCCAACCCACTTAATTTTAAGAATAGACACTAGTAAAACCTATTCACCCCCTCCTGCTGGCGGTGGGGGAAGGGCCCTCAGCACTGGCAGCATCTCCCCAGGATGTGCTGGGTTCCCCCAAGTACCCCCTGCACCTCCAGAATTCCTGGAGCTGCTGCAGACTCCGAGCAACCCTGTGCCCTACAAAGGGGAAACTGAGGCCCAGGGAAATGCAACGACTTACTCAGCTTGCACAATAAGGTAGTGGCAAAGCTGGGACTTGAGAAGGGGACCAAGGTTTTCAGACTAGTGTCTCAGCCAGGGGCCCTCAGACTGTGTCCTGAAGAGGAAGTGGGCCAAGGATGCCCGGTGGTTGAAGATGCCCAGTGGCTCCAATGCAGCCCAGTCCAGATGGAAAAGACCTGCTCTGTGCCCAGGCGCTTGCACAGGCCAGTCCCCGAGCAGCGGGATAATGAGAACTCCCTGGGCTGACAGCCACACCAGACAGCAATGCTTTGCTCAGGGCCTCTGCTGGGGGTGAGGGGCTGACTCCAGCAGCCGGGCTTGGGGTTGGAGAGGTGTCAGGACGAGCCTGGAGAAATGTCCTGGGGGAGCCTCGGATCGGGGCACAGCTCAGGCCACCAACGGGGGGAATCCAGACTCCACGCTCTCAAGCTCGTCTCCTGGCAGCAATCAACGGAGTACGATGAGCAAAGGAGAGAAAAACAAGCCCATTGCTCCCTCCCTCCCTCCATTAAGGTCATGCCCTCAGGATGCCAGGCTGGTAGTGGAGGGTGGGGTCACATCCAGCCTGCTGCCAGCCTTGTGCTGGGAGGGGCTGACGAGGAGGCTTCTGGCCCCCAGAAGGCAGCGGGCCTTCAAGTTAAATGGGGTAACACATGGGCATGCTGGCTGCCAAACATTCTCTGAATTGCAGTGACCATGTTTAAGATGCTTTTTACCACGAGGCCCTGAGCAAGGCACTGACTGCACGGCCTCCGCGTCCTCATCCTGCTGCGGGGGTGGGATAAGTTCAGAACCTGCGGGTGGCCCCCCGGGCTCCTTCCCTAAAACATCCTCTCGTCATCCCCGCCACTTCCCCGGGACTCCCCTCAATGCCCCTGGGGTCAGGGGGCTCCCCAGGCAGATCTTCCTGGGGCTCTGCAGCTGTGGGTGGACTGGGAAGGCCTCTACAGGACTCCTCGCTTTGGGGACCTGGCACCAAGCTTCCTCCCACTGCCCCAGCTCCTGGGCAACCTTCTGTTGAAGCCTCAGTTAAGCAACTCACTGCCCCCCCCACCCAGACTTGCCAGCCTCTGCCTGCAGCAGCCCTGCCCACCCCGGCAAGCCCAGGTCCTCCCACCAGACACCCATCTCCCCCTTGCCTGACCTCTGCCTGGAGCCCTCTCCCAGCCCTGCCACCTTCAATCCACACAGCAGTTGTAGTGCCCACTTGATGTGAGCAAACGAAGTCACCTGAGCTTCACCTTCCCAGGGCAGTCGGGGACCCGGGCGAGCTCTCTCACAGGCAGTCAAGGGAGCAGAGGTTGCCAGCTATTGGCAGGAAGAGGGGCATCAGTCGGGCGGGTGGGACAGACTCCCAGCCACATCCCTGCTGCCTCCAAACAGACCCACAGACTTGCCAGAGCCTCCAAGAATGTGTTACCGAATGAAATCCATCCAACTACCAACACGAGACATTCTGGAACATTCCAAACAGCAGCAAGGACGTGCCTGCTCACAGAGCTCGGGCCCCCAGCTTAGGGTCCAGCCAGATACCAAGTGGCAGGGCCAAGGAAGGTGGGAATCAGGTTCCCGGGGCCCTGAGTCTGGCCCGGGCCCCGCGGAACAGCCCATGCTCTTAGCAACCACCTTGCTGACTGTCGGCGGCACATCTCAGAGAGGCAGAAAGAACTCTGCAGGGAGGATTCTAGCCTAAACCACCCGCCGTAACAAAATAAATCCTGCTCTTGAGGAAACTTAACCATGCCTATTGGAACTCATCATCGGCCCGGCAGATCTAGCCTTCCCTAAAGCTGTTGAAGGCACTTGAATGGCTTATTAACACTACCTGGAATGGTTTTTATTTCAATCTTGATTTAAGAAAAAAATTCAGTAATACTGCAAAAGAAGGTTCCCCTAAAAAACCAACAACAACCAATACGTAAGTTTCTAAGGATTAAAATAAATGCTAAGCTCTGCTTAAGTTATTTGACACAACAGGTCACTTTGGCACTGACAGAACAAAGACAAAACCGGAAATACTGCTTCAGAATTAGACTTTCCCTGGAAAACAACAACAACACAAAAGACGAGTGCAGCATCTCTGAGCTCCCCCTGCCCCTTCGGGGGACGAGAGGGACCAGTGAGGCCAGGGTCACACATGTCCCGGCTGCTTTGGCGCAGGCGGGCGACCACTGAAGCTGCAATCCTAGATCCTCTCCCGTTTGGGAAGCGAGCTCGGCCAGCTGAGCCCAGCCAGGTATGTCTGCCGACGCGAGCCCTCCCAGCTGTGGCCTATGAGGAATGGAGAAAAAAACCTGCGCTGGGCGCCCAGGACGTGTTTGCAAAGACCCACGGCTCTGAGTCTGCCCAAGAGCCCCCCGCAGCGCGCCACTGCCCCGCACACATGCCGGTGTCTTTGGTCTGGCTGCAGCCAGTGACTTCGGCCTCTGGTTCCACCCCCACCTCCTGGGGATCAAGAGCCAGTCCAGTTCCCAGGTCGTCATCTCTCTGGCAAGGCTTCCTCTGTCCCACTGCCTGTCATGAGCAAGGTGTGATACCCATGCCCCATGCAGTGCCAGAGGCACCAGGAGGGACTGATGCAAGCAGCACAGGGGCTCAGGGATCCCAGGGAAAAGCACTGCTTGGGTGGTGCCGCCTGCCCACCCCTGCCTATTGGGTCTTTAGGCACCTGAGGGGAAGGGTCGTAGGGTCAGAGGGTGGGGACCCCAGGGCCCTGGGCCTCCTAGCTTCTCCATGGCGTGTTGTTCTCCGGCTCTGAGAGGGCAGAGGGCAAGTCCTGGCTTCTCCTGTCGGCCTGGGATTCCCCGGCCCCCTGGGCCCACCCCTCCAGCAGGTCTTGGGGATCCCTGAGGAAGACCACCATGACCGTGATGTTGTCACGGGAGCCCCGCTCCCTGGCTGCGGCCACCAGCTCCTCGGCGACGTGCAGCTCGCTGCCCCGCTGCCTGGCCAGGTGGCTTTGCACAAGGCCGGCCACCTCCTGGTGGGAGACGACGTCAAAAAAGCCATCACAGGCCAGCAGCAGGTAGTCCTCCGAGCCCGTCAGCTCCCGGGAGGCCACGTCTGCCTCTCCAGACACGTAGGGCTTCTGGAAGACATCCCCTGGGCATGGGAGAGAAGTGCCTGGAGTCAGAGGGCTGGCTGTCCATCTTGCCAGGCCTGGCCGCTATGGCTACCCCACGCTCACAGGCAAGGACACGGGGTGAAAAGACCACGTCCTATGGAGGGGATGTAACAGGTTTATTCTGGTGTTCCTCGGGGAAGAACCAGAACCCAGCAGGGCCAGAGTTCAGCTCCAACACACAGCTTTCTCACTCTCACTCCCCAGGCAGCGGGGCCCAGAGGGGGCGGCCCAGGACATCGCCTGGGCTATGGCCCTGGCCCTCCTGAGCTCCCGACAGCTCCCCTCAGACACCGGACAGGCTCTCAACTGAGCTCGCTCCTCCTCCCCCACACCTGCTCCTCCAGTCTCCTCAGCTTGGAAGACAGCACCAGAATCTGAGGGTTCCCTCTGAGTCTCACACCCCACATCTAAGCTGTTAGCAGGTCCTACTGGCTTTACCTTCAAAATGCAGCTCCACACCCCACCCCTCCCCTCCCCTCCCCTCCTGGTTTGGACAGCTCACACCTCACCCAGCCCCCTCAGAGCTTCCTGCCGCCCCTCCTTCTGCTCTTGGCCTGACAGTCACTTGCCCAAGGAGCGTGAACTAAACCCCGTCGTCCCTTATGCCCAGCTTCCCAGGGCTCCCCTCTCCTTGCAAGGGAGGCCTGCCCCACCTCCCTGCCCTGGTATGTCCAGAGACGCAAGGGCAGAAGCCACAAGGAGAAGGGCGATAAAGAAGGCAACACGTTTGGCAAGAGGGGGACGTTTCAGGAGGCTGGAGGGACAGAGGTCCCATCACAGGGCTTAGCAGGAAGGAGGCGACGCCTAAGAATCTGAAGAAGAGACATGGCTGTCGAGCCCCAGCGTGCGGCCTGGCAGCGACAGGCTGCTGAGAAAATAGAATGAGGTGGGTGGGGGAAGCTTGTGCTTCTGATTTTAAAAGAATCATCAGCATGAATCGGGGGATGGGTAACTCACTTATGGAACATTTAAAACTTATCTCCCAGCTAACCAAGGGGAGCAGGGCCTAGGTTTTTCCGAGGAAGTGTTTTAACAAAGAGATAATGACACGTAACTCGAACCGCAGTTCTCTGGGCAAGATGTCTGACAGCGACTTTCCCATCTCCCTTCAATCTGATCGACAGCACAGCCTTATCAACGGCAGGCACCTTTCCAGCACATGACACTGCCGCCCCAACAGCTGGGCCCAGAGGCCTAGCCCTGGGCGGCCTTTCTCTCGCCCCTCGCCTCCTTACCGATGGCTCTGGACACGGCCAGGGTCCCGTTGACTCTCCAGCAGTCCATGTAAGACACGAAGCCACCCAGCGCTTCGATGCGCTCCTTCTCGTCCTGCGGAAGACAGCCAGAGTGGGGGCCTCGGCCTCCCACGGGCCGGGCACCCGGCACTGCCAGCCAGGAGGAGGGGCGCTGGTTTCTAAGGCAGCGCTGGGAGCCACAGCTCTTGAAAGATGCCCAAATGAGGCATTATAACACAGTGAGAGATTACAAAGAACTCCATCGTCCTCCAGGTGCAGGAAAGGCTAACTAGGTTATGGTGCGAATACCGACCGGCCACTCACAGCCACCGACCAACAGCCTGTCCCTGAGCAGCGTTTCGGGGCCCGGGAGATGCTCACGAGGCAACAGAGAGCGCGAGCCCAGGGTCAGGCGGCAGGCCCTGCGGCGTCTCACTTTGCAGGCAGGACACTGTCCCTTCTCTGTAAGCTGCTGCGAGGACACCGAGCGCGTGTGACAGGCGGCCATTTGGCAGGGCTGGATGACACCTGAACCAGGCCCTGGGTCCTCATCCTTCTCCTCCACCCACAGACCCTGTCCGGCTCCCCAAAGGACCGCGGTGCTCCAGGCCAAAGAGGACAGGACAGAGGCCCAGTCCAGCCACGAGTCCTGAAACTTCTTTGGTTCCATAAATTCCCCTGGAAGGTTTTCAGACCTGAGCCTATTGCCTGGAGGCAGTAACAACAGTGTCTGCTGTTGGATGAGCCTGAGGCTTGGAAGGGGTGGAGCCAGGCCCAAGCATGGACATCTGTCCTTGCTCGTCGCCATGCTCCACTCTGCTGAGCTCGGGCAGTGTTTGGGAAAGGCTGCCTGCAAAAGCGCCCAGCGGGCCTCAGAGGAGGTGCTCAACTCCGAGCTTACGTGGGTGCAGCCGGCGGGTGCAGAACCGGGACCTCAAGCATAGGTTTGTATCTAGACCGAACTTGGGTCACATGTCATCGGGCTGCTTGTCTTGGGGTGGGAGGTCCACCGGAGAGCAGGCACTGGAGGCCCCGGAGTGACAGAGAATACCTGCCCTTTCCTGGCTGTGTGCTTTGGGCAAGTTACTTAACCTCTCTGGG